TACACTCCACACTGTAACTAATCTGTAAGAAACATTTGTTGAATTTGGATATAAAATCCAAGTTATCCATTATTATCTGAAAAATTACATTAAATACACCCTTTTTCCAATTATATATGTATATGAAGCTGAATTTTCTTCATATATTTCAACCAAAGTATTATATTGTAAAAGATCAAATGCAGAAGCTGATAAGAGAACCCAATTATTTTAATGTAGACAGTAAGGAGATCTGCAAAAATGTCTCTTACCTTTTTGGTGCTAGGAAATACCCTTATTTTCATTAGAAAATATTACACAGTTAACAACTGGCTATTATTTTTAAATACATAATTCAAAATTTTCTTAATTCCAATGTAATAAATTTTGACAGATATAGTCTATCGAAGTTTAAGAATGTAAATGGCTCCTGATACCAAAAGCTACTAGTTTAGATACTTTCTGAATGTATTTCCCTCCCCTACAGGAGGGATCCTAGCCTCATTAACTTTTGAAAGAATTAATAATGCAGAGTACAAGCCTTTCCTACTTTCTTTCATAATGACATTAATTGGAAAGATTTTTTTTTTTCTCCTATTTGCAACTCTTCTGCTTCCTGGTTGGATGGGTTTATTTAGAAGTTGCAAATGTTCTTTTTAGGTGCTTGAATCTTACGTTTTAAGCAGCATCTGATGAACCATCTGATTTGAGACATTTACCATAATATAATTTTTAAGAGTATCTCTCACCTTTTGGTCACTCCAAATTTAATTTGATCACTATAGATCTATGTTGCCCAAAAGAAAATGGGGATCACATATGTTATCTGCAATTTTCTAGTAGGCACATTAAAACAAAAATGAAACAGGAGAAAGCAAATTTAATAATAGATTTTATTTAACCAAATCTATCGAAACTATTATCACTTTAACACAAAAATATAAAACTTTATTACTAATAAATTTCTATGTGTTTCTTTTCACATCAAGTCTTCAAAATCTGGTTGTGCATTTTGTATTTACAGGATATCTCGATGCAGACTAGCTACATTTTAATTGCTCAAGAGCCACTGTATGTCCAGCAGCTAACATTCTTGACAGCACAGTTCTAAAGATAAAAGTAATCCATCTTCAATTCTATCTGAATTCTGATTTGAGTTCATTCCTTTTGTTATTTGGTTCTGATATTTAATCTTTCTCTTTTATTGTGCTGTTTCACATATTTACCTAACATTTTATTTTCCAAATGGCAAATTTTAACTCATATTCAACTCCTCCAGAAAACCTTATATGCTGGGAAATCTGTCATTTAAAACACAGTTCTGACCTTTTGGTTAGAATATTTTTCTACAACTACAATGATATATACTAAGCTTTTTATATAAGATAATTTCAAATTGTCCAAAATTATGACATACGAAATCAAGAAGAGAGAAAAGAGCAAATACTGCAAAAGGAAGTAATATTTAAGGTACAAATTGTCCATAAAGAAGTTTGGTTTGCTTCCTAAAGTCTATGTACCACTGAAATATCCAAAATATTATAGCCTTTAATGACAAGCCAAAAGGTACAACCTTGGGTACATTAAGAAACTATTTTTAAACTAGTCACATTTGAGCAGGAAGCCCTTGACTTTCACATAATACAAATCTGCCATTAGAAAGAAGATGGACTTAATACTTTTTGGAGCTATTCCATTTACATCTATTCTACTTATACGCAAACAGCAATGTTTATGCATTTTTACTTGACTGCTTTACAAAAATGACTAACAGAAAAATAAAAAAAGTTGTACAATATAAACAGAAACTTTGGTCTCAAGTTGAAACAGGAGTTAGTCCTATCGATCTAAAGTTTCTTCAAAGTTGGAAGGACTGCCCCTGTTTATTACATATTACACTTCTTCCCCACTCTTTTTCTTTTTTTTTTGAGACGGAGCCTCAAGCTGTCCCCCTGGGTAGAGTGCCGTGGCATTACAGCTCACAGCAACTTCCAACTCCAGGGCTCAAGCGAGTCTCCTGCCTCTGCCTCCCAAGTAGCTGGGACTACAGGTGCCCGCCACAACGCCTGGCTATTTTTTGGTTGCAGCCATCATTGTTGTTTGGCGGGCCCAGGCTGGATTCAAACCCGCCACCTCAGGTGTATGTGGCTGGTGCCTTAGCCGCTTGAGCCACAGGCGCCAAGCCTTCTTCCCCACTCTTGATAGTTCTATCTACAACTCTGAGACTATTCACTGCTACAACATTCTGGCTTTCAGAAATTCCTGAGGGGTAAAGTGACATCGGGTTGATTACTAAATATAAGAAAAAATCTTGGCATGTTCTGCTCAGTTCTACTGCTTTTTCCTTAAAGGATCTACATGCCTTAGGAAATAAGAGGCCTCCCATTGCCCTTTCATGGGCAGCCACAGCTGATTTTGCATTGTTTTTTTAACTATGGTCCAATCTGCTAAATTCTAGGGTTTAGTCAGTACATCCCCTAAGCTTTTGTACTGTAATTTATCAGTAATAATAGTTTTATTTTGGTCATCTGTCACATCTTGCTTTTAATTCATATGCCCAGACACAGGAAATGAAGAGACATATCATTAATTGGGAGTCCCTCAGTGACCAACATTAAAGCACTGATCAACACTACGTAACAATACTAGGATGAATTGAAATTCTAAGAGGGGCAAAGGTTAAACAATAGCATTTGATGATCCCTCCTTCCCTATAAAATTTAATTAGAGAACAGAATCTAGGAGTTACATTTTTGAAAACTATAACCTCAGGAAGAGCAGATTCTTCATTACAAGTACAACAACCTTCAGTTAGTCGGATTCAAGAGTCTTCTATCAGTTACACAGGAGAGTGATTCTCTAAAATTTAACCCAAAGTAATAAAGAGAAGAGTAGCTGTGGATGACCCTTATTTAGTCTCAGTGAAGGGAATTATGTAAGGAACTGTGTCAGAAATAAACAACAGCTGGGTAGGAAAACTCTTTGAAAATTTAGAAAGTTCTGACCACCCGGGCTTTGGATCACTCTCCAGATCGGATGGGACAGTCTCAGGACGAACGCGGTTCACTCTTCAACTGGAAGAGTGATGGAGTAGGAACGGGGCAACTGAAAGGCATAGGCTAATTTCTTGAGATCCAAGATGGCACTAAAACAATTTTTTATTTTAATGACTGTCACCAAGAGACAGTAAATCTGAAATGTTATTAAGCTCCTATTATAAATCAGAACCTTTGGGAGGTACTGGGAACACTGGCAGGCAAGATGTTGTCCACGTGCTTTTTACAACATATTGGCGTTAAGGGTGGTGGGAAGGAGAGCATGCAGAGACGGAAATTAATCTTAAGAGCAAGAACTCACTATGGGTACAGCTTCAATGACACTTGCCCTTGGTCCTATGCCATTCTATCTCATTTGTCTCCACTGGTAGAATCCAGAAATGTTCATTTTTACAACCAAAGTACTAAAATGTCCAGCCATTAGTTAAAGAAGGCAGATAAGGAAGCACACTAGGAAGGAACAGGTAGATATTTAGATTTTAAATATTAAGATGATATGCTCAGCTTCCTAAAGCCAGAACATCCTTATGTTATAGATGTTAGATCTAGTAAATCATCTTAAACAAAGTTAACTTTGGTTCCATGAATTCTGTTAGAATACACTTTCCCCCTAAACCTGTACATGACAAAGAAATACTAGGCCAAACTTGGCAGAAATTTTCAAGAATTTTCTTAAAAACAGAGCCTTTAACTCTCTACCCAGAGAGGTAGAGAGGTCTGAGGTCTTAGAAAAAGAGCAATTTTTCTCAATTTCCTCTGTTGCTTTTGTTGGAACTGAGTGTCCTAAAGGCCCATCACTTCTGATTTTAGTAATGAGACAGAATTAATCTCTACACGCACAGCTCCAAATTACAAATTACCCCCTAATTTGCGAGAGCCCCTTCTTACATAAACAACTCTTATAAAATCCACACATAGGTATACAGTATTAACAAACGATTAAAGATTTCCCAAAGAAGAAATGTCTAACAAGTTTTTAGGAAAAAAAAACAAAACAATCTACTACACCAACCCACTCCAAGTATTCTTCAGTATCTTAATGCACATCCCTCAGAGCTTCTGAACAGAATGTAATTGGGGGGGGGGTGTACATACTTATGGTGTATGGGGGGGAATCTCAGACGAGAATGCGTTGAATAAAAATATTCAAAAATGGAAAAAATAAGAAAAAACTTAAATCACTTAATACAGAAGGCTCTTCCAAATTTAAATAGGTCACATAAAGTAGTAAGAAACACTAAGAGAAATAAATGAGAAAATTCATCACAAAAGAAATAGTTAATACATGAAATAGTCAACAGTAAAAACATAGAACAAGAGTCCTTTATCTTAGAAACCCATTAGTAAAGATCAAACAAAAAAGATGGTAAAGATGTAGCGAAACACACAATAAATGTAAACATTAGGAATGAGACAAATCAATTTGTAAGAGATTTAGTCTATGATCCATTAATTTGAATTCTGTAATTCTTTATTAGTTGAAGATCTGAATATAGAGAAGGTTTCAAGTAATAAAGGGATTTAAAAAAAATGCAGTTTTAAAAAGTTATTTAAAAAGGGTAATGCAGTACGTAGAACTACTAAACACACACAGGACCAATATCATAGTATAATCCAACTATTAAATCAGAGATTTAAGTAACAGGAGGAAATGCTTATGTTATAATACTGAATGAAAAAAGCAGATGTGAGAATTACACACTACAGGGTCACAACTCTATGTTAGAGACCTGCACAGAAAAGGTCAAATGAAAAGATATAAACATACAGTAGCACTCAAACAATACAATACTGTGCGATTGGGTGTGGTGGTGTGTAGAAGGATGCTACTTTACAGAGTGATGAGATCTATCACAGCCAGGAACTGCTAATCGAGTTATGTTTGCAAAACACATATTTGATCATTCATTTAATATCTCAGTAAATATTCAAAAAGCTTTAGTGGAATTAGTTTCATGAACTTACCACATGAGTAGTTTTTAATGTATTGCCATCAAATCTGCATAAACTGGAGCTCTCTTCAAAGAAAATGTCACATTCCTCTAACTCTTGAGCATTACAAGGAGGTTTTTCTTTATCTGGATTTGGATTCTAAAACCAGAAATAAAATAAGTAAGTAAAACAAATGCCAAGGGACGGATTTCTCTATGCTTAAAAATGTTAAGATCACAGTAACAATTAAAAACTAATTTGGAACTCGTGACCAAGAAAACATTAAAAAAAAAAAAAAGACAGAGAAATGGAAGGATAATGGAGTCAGCAGAAAAGGACATTAAAACATCTATTATCGGCTGGGCGCCCATAGCACAGTGGTTGCAGTGCCAACCACATACACTGAGGGTGATGGGGCTGAACCCGGCCCGGGCCAGCTAACCAACAAATAAAAACCGCAACAAAAATAGCTGGGCATTGTGGCGAGTGCCTGTAGTCTCAGCTGCCTGGGAAGCTGAGGCAAGAGAATCACTTAAGCCCAAGAGTTTGAGGTTGCTGTGAGCTGTGATGCCAGAGCACTCTACAGAGGGCAACACAGTGAGACTCTGTCTAAAAAAAATAAAAAACAAAAAACATCTAATATTAACTTGTTCCATGTACTCAAAGAAGTGAAGGGAAACATGTACACACTGAGAAAGGGTGAAAGACACCAAAGAAACCCAAACTGAACTTCTAGAGATGAAAATATGAATCTGAAATGGAAAACAAAACAGATGAGACAGACAACTGATTAGACATAAAGGAAAAAGGAACACTGAGCTTGAATTGCCATAGAGACCATCCATGCAAAGTGAAGCCCAGAGACACAAAACATAAACAGAGAAACCCAGCGACCTGTGGGGGAATACGGAGAAGGCTACCTGGAAGTAACTAGAGGACGGCAGGAAACATGGGAAGAAAACTGTAAAGAAATAATGGCTAATTTTTTTCAAATTCCATAAAAACTACAGATTCAAAAAGGTCAAAGAACCCTACACATTACATTTTTTTAAGAAACCAAAAATCACAGCAAGTCATATAAAATTGCTGAAAAGCTGTAATAAAGAGAAAATCCTAAAAACAGATGGAAGAGGGGGAAAAACATGTAAAAAGGATCAAAAAGACAACTGACTTCCCATTAGAAACTATATCAACTAGAATCAATGACATGTATTTTACATTTTTCTTTTTTTTTTTCTTTCCTGCAAGACTCTCTTTGGAGATGAAATTCTGAAAAAAAACAAAAACAAAAACAAAAACAAAATACCTCTGTCAATCATAAATTATACACCTAACAAAAATAACTTTGAAAAAAGGAAGATAAATATTTTTGTAGACAAAAGCTGGGAGAATTTATTACCATCAAACCTATAATACAAGAAGTGCTAGGGCGGTGCCTGTGGCTCAAGGAGTAAGGTGCCGGCCCCATATGCCAAAGGTGGTGGGTTCAAACCCAGCCCTGGCCAACAACAACAACAACACTAACAAAAAAAAAGTGCTAAAAAAATTCTTTATCTAGGAAAAAATAATGTCAGATGAAAATCGAATCAACACAAAGGAATGTAGAACAGGGGAAATAGCAAATACATGAATAAATAAATTCTCTTTAATTTTAATCTTTTAAAATTTTAATCTCTTTAAAAGAGAACTATGGCTAAAATAGCTATATGAATTATGAAGTTTATAACAAGTGGGATGTAAAATGTATGACAATACTACTTAAGGTGGAAGAACAGAAAAATAAGAACTTAAATTATAAGTCAAGTGATAATTTTTCAAAGGTAGATGGTGATAAGTCAAAAGATCTATACTATAAATTCTAGATTAGAACAACAGACACAGAAATATCTACACAAACAAAAACATAATAGTTAATAATAAGCAAAAAGCAGACATAAATAAAATCATAAAAGTAATTTCAATATGTTCTCTTGCTTAAAGGCAAGGATTACTGTCTTGTCTTGTATCCCTTACAGAGTAACAGGATCACAATAATTAAGTAAAAAATTAACATGCACTTGTAGCAGAACTAAAACTCAATACCTGACCAAATGTACACACACCTAGTTCACCAAATACAAAGTTGCATTACTGCTCATGTTACTGAGAAGGTACAGGAATGACCAGAGAGTCTAGGGCTATAAGAAGAAGCTGAGTTCCCCAGCATCGATGTACAGGAATGACCAGAGAGTCTAGGGCTATAAGA